CCAACATGGGGTATGCTCCAGCCACGCTGCTGTGGTGAATGCTCACTTTCCCACCTCATGCTGACAGCTTTATCTGAAATATAATTCACACCCCCTCTTCTTTCATCCATAAGTATGACTCATCTTGAAAGACACAACTGAGGAGTCACCTTTTCTGTGAAGTTTCTTCAGCTACTTTTTCACTTGAAAAATTATTCATTCTCTTCTTCACTATGGCACCTTTTCAAATGTTTTGCAGTTTTAATCCTCACCCAAGAACATGCTTAGAGAGAGGAAGGGATGGAGGGAGGGAGGGGAGAGAAAAAGACAGAGAGAAAAAGACAGAGAGAGAAAGAGACACAGAGAGTGAGAGCGAACAAGAAACCAATAAGTTGCCTTCAGCATTCGCCCTAACAGGGGCTCAAACCTGAAAGCCAGGCTTGTGCCCTGACCTGGAATGGAACCAGGAACCCTTCAGTGCAGGGGACGATTCTCAACAAAGGAGACACTCTGGTTGGGCTATGCCACCACATATATATTGATTATATATATATTGATTTCAGAGAGGAAGGGAGAGGGAGAGATTGAAAGGCCAATGCTGAGAGAGAATCATTGATTGGCTGCCTCCTGCACGCCCCCCTCTGGGGATCAAGCCCGCAACCTGGGCATGTGCCTTGACTGGGAGTCAACCATGACCTCCTGGTTCCTAGGTCGACTCTCAACCACTGAGCCATGCCAGCTGGGCTATGCCATCTTTTTATGCCTCTGTTTTGTGGTGCTTGTCACGATTTGACTGGCTTTTTTGTTACTTACGCGTTCCCTGGAAGGGCAGGGGTGTTTGTATGGAAGCTCAGGGCAGGTGCTGTGACCTGGCCAGCACAGTCTCCTCAGCAGGCAGATAAGAGCCCTTCCCTCCTGCAAGGCAGAGTAAATGAACTGGAGAGCATTATGCTAAATGAAATAAGCCAGTCAATGAAGGAAAAATACCACATGATCTCACTCATTCATGGATAATAGAGACCATTATAAACTTTTGAACAATAATAGATACAGAGGCAGAGCTGCCTCAAACAGAGTGTCAAACTGCAGCGGGAAGGCCGGGGAGGGTTCGGGGGCGGGAGGTAGGGGGGTAAGAGATCAACCAAAGGACTTGTTTGCATGCATATAAGCATAACCAATGGATATAAGACACTGGGGGGTAGGGGAGGCCAGGGGATTGTCAAGGGCGGGGGGAAAAATGGACACATATGTAATACCCTTTGTAATACTTTAAGCAATAAAACAATTAAAAAAAAAAGTAAATGTGTTTGGTACAAACTCGTGGACTTAGAGAGATTAACAACAGATTTTGGATTATAGCTTCTCCAACCTGTGCTTTGTTTTATCAAGTAGGCTGTTAAATAGATATGATTTTGAGCTGAGCTGAGCTGAGTTAAAACCAGTGAGCAATTATATTGTATTCTGTCCTCATAGACATTTAAAAGGTTTTGCTGGGTATATGGTGTGTTTCTTTTCATGTCATTAATGTTGACTCTGATTATTGACTTTGGATTCTTCGCAGACACCAGTTTCATGACTCAAACGAATTGCATCAAAAACACAAAGCTCTGATCTTTCCAGATACTGTTTTCTTGCCTGCCAAAACCCAGACATAAATGGGGAGGGGAAGGCATTATGTTCACAATTTAGAGAACTAATACTTCCATATGAGTATAATCTGTTAATATGATTTGTAGTTGGATTATAGTTTTTTTATTTTCATGATTTCATTCAGCAACCATTAATTGAGTAATGAGCATGTTCCAGACATTGTGCTGTGGCCAGTGGAGCCTGAAATCTCGTGGGGAGGACACACAATAACAGTTGTGTGGGCACCGACAGCACAGAGGAAGAAGTGATTAAGTGACAAAGGAGTGGTTCAATGACTCAGCTGAGTACTGCAGGTGAATAGGAACTGACCAGGTTGATTGTGGGGGTAGAGGCGGGAGCAGGAGAGAGAGTAGGGACTGGGAGACAGACCTGACAGTGAGTAGCAAGAGCAGGGAGGTAGGAAGTGACCTGGCTTCAGTACTTAGCTATCAGTTTTTTAAAAATTTTTTTTTATAAAGCATATGTTTATTGATTTCAGAGAGGAAGGGAGAGGGAGAGAGAGATAGAAACATCAATGATGAGAGAGAATCATGGATCAGCTGCTTCCTGCATGCTCCCCGTTGGGGATCGAGCCTGTAACCCAGGCATGTGCCTTTGACCAGGTATCCAACTGTGACCTCGTGATTCATAGGTTGATGCTCAACCATGGAGCCACACCGGCTGGGCTATCAGTTTTATTTTAATAGGATGGTGTAGAACTAAAATGGCTCAACAATGAAAATTAAGTCCTGTCTTTCCTCTGACCCCCAGCCATGAAAGTCCTCTCCCTAGAGACAGCCACTGTTACACTTTCTTGGGTAAATCTTTCCACAGAGTTTTGTTGCATTTATAAACCTGAGATCGATTTTCTTTTTATCCCCAGGCAAAAGGTAAATGCTATACAACTTGTTCTGCACCTTGCTTTTTTCCCCACTTAATGTATTGGAAGTAGTGTTGCTGTATTCTTTTTAATATAATGGCTACAGACTCTGTTATGTGAGGGGACCACAATTTATTGAGCCAGTACCTTTTGGAAGGGACATTTAGGCCTTTCATAATAATGTTGTTATCCATACCATGAAGTACATGGGAATAAGTCAGCTGCAGCCACAGAGAGTGGAGCTGAGGGTTGTAAATATATTCACCTCTTACTTCAGGTTCAGTTAACAAACAAAAAGCCAGGCATATTTGGGAAAGAACCCAATATAATTTCAAGAAATTAATCATTGAAATTACAAACTCAACCAGTAGGGTAAAGTATTGAAGAGAGAATTGGTGAGCCAAAGGATGAATAATCTGAAGTAATTGTTTGGGAAGTTGGGATAGAGAAGCAGAAGGAAAACATATCTACATGTTGAAGTGCAGCGCAGTGCTGAGACCACATGAATCAAAGCCATGTGTCAATATGGATGATGCTCACAAGCATATTGTGGAGTGAAGAAAAGCAAGTTACAGACTAATTCAGACCATGTGTAATTCATACCCATGAGTCAAAACAGTATTGAATTTTTTTAAATTGAGAAAGTCTTGAATTTTTGCAGCTTTGGAATTCACTATCTTCTTTTTAAAAAATTTACCTTTATTATTGAAAGTATTACAGATACTCCCTTCTTCTCCATTGCCCCCTCCCTCCCACTCCCACAACCCCCCTCAGGCCTTCACCATCCTATTGTCTGTGTCCATGGGCTATGCATATATGCATACAAATTCTTTGGTTAATCTCTTTGCACCCATGCATTTATCCCTGCCTTCCCTCTGAGATTCATCAGGCTGTTCCATGTTTCTGTGTCTCTGGATCTATTTTGTTCATCAGTTTATTTTGTTCATTACATTCCACATATAAGTGATATCACATGATTCTTGTCTTTCTCTGACTGACTTATTTTGCTTAGCATAATATTCTCCAGATCCCTCCAAGCTGTCTCAAAGGGTAAGATACCTTCTTTTTTACAGCTGCATAGTATTCCATTGTGTAGATGTACCACAGCTTTTTAAATCCATGCATTATGGGGTTTTTATTGTTTTTCTCTAATGACAACTCCTTTTGGTATTGACCAACATGTTGTTTAAAAAGTCTGGTGTATTTTATATTCCTTTAAAGGTTTTAAAATTATTTCATGTTAAGTTGATATTATTAAGAACCTGATTTTTAATATGAATACAATTTTATAACTTTTTTTCACAAAAGGCAGCAAACTGCAAGTATCTATTAATACAAGTCAATAATGATGATGATGATGATGTACTACTGAGGCAGAATTTAGCTTAAAACTCTAAGGTTTTCCTAGATTTTGTATATTGTTTATTCAACAATGCCTTGTGAATTCTCATATATCTTGGTGATAAGAGACATTATAAACATATACATAGAATATGCAAACATCGCTTACCTTTTTCTCATGTAACTTTCTCCTTCAATTGCTAAATGGCATAGGGGAACATTTTACCATTCTATCTTTTTATTATTGCTAGCAAAGAACTGAATATAGAGAGATGTCTGAATTTTTCCTCCTAAGAGAGAAATGTAGAAAGTGGTGGTTATTTGTGGTGTGTGAGTTTTTTTTTTCACATTTCACTCACTTTTCCTTGGGCATGTGTGACTCATGTCCAAGATCAGGGGAACAACATTCCTTTCTCACTCATGGAATTGAATGCGTATAAACGACTTTATTGTGTGTGTGTGTGTGTGGGGGGGGGGGAATTCCTAATGGAAAAACCTTACTAAGGAGAAATGAGACTTAAAGACTTGCAGGTCATTATGTTATCTGTATCATAGCCACAGGCCCTGGAAGTTGACTGCATAGTGCATAGTCCCTGGATCATAACTGCAAAAATGTGCACTGTGGTGTTTAGCTTCCCAAGGGATGTAATTACTTTTTCCATGATACCTAGTCCTTGAAATGACCTAAACAAAACATTTCTTTTTATCTTCTTCCTCTGGTATGTGGCAAAGCATATTGTATTTGTTACAACTAGAAATTCCTACAGTGCAGCCTGGTCCTTGTCGGCAGATGGCAGCTGGACTGGCCTGAGGGCTGTTGCTGGTGCAAATCAAAGAGCTCAGAGGTTCTATCCTTGGCAGAAAAAAAAAATTGCTTCTTATCATCCCATCTTCCTTCACTAAAAGCCTGAGAAATGACATGTGATCAGTTGTTAAAACGTACTCATCGCCATAATAACCATGAAAGATACTGTCCTACCTTGTCCTCCTGGTGGCTGAGGGATGGTTAACCCTTTTAAAGGATTGTGCAGTTGCTCCTAAAATACATACCCTGTGCCTGAGCTTTAAGATGACTTCTGAGTTGCTTAGTTGTCGTAAATCACCCATGCCATCATTTCCATGCATTCTCTGTCCTTTCACAGGCCTCATGTGTGTTTTTTTTCCACTCTGTTTCAGGGCTCATCGTTGGGGTGATCCTGAGGTACGGCACCCCTGCCACCAGTGGCCATGACAAGTCCCTCAGCTGCACTCAGGAAGACAGGGCCTTCAGCACGTTATTAGTCAATGTCAGTGGGAAGTTCTTTGAATACACCCTGAAAGGAGAAATCAGCCCCGGCAAGCTCAACAGTGTAGAGCAGAATGACATGCTGAGGAAGGTGAGCTGGGGACACTCAGTGGTTGTTGTCTGACATGGTTTTTGATTTCCAGTTTTGTCTTGATCTTATGGAGAGAAACCCTTTTAAACTCCTGGAGCATAGTTGGCATCCCTGCTTCTCCATTTTCCTGGGAAGCTTTGGGGTTATAATGAAGAGAAGAAAGAACCATATTTGAACTTGAGCCTTTCAGCTTTGCGAGGTTCAGTGGCTGACTTGGGACACTGATGGATGTGGTGGGTTTGTACATCCCCGTCCGGCTGGTCTCTCCAATCCCCATCTTTTCTTTACTATGTCTTTTATTATGGTTTAGGGATGAGGTTGTTTCTTTCTTAAGAATGCTTTCACTTTCAGTTTGTTTATTCAGAATTCAGAAGTATAATTCTTAGTTCTTCATGATTCTTTGGCCATATTCTATAAATATTGATTGAGAATTCCCTCTCATTGGTGATTGATGCCAATGGCTTATTCTTCAGAGGAAGGATATTTCTTAGAATTTGAATCCAAACATTGGTTTTCATTTGATGTTGGGGCTAGCTAAAATACTCCACAGGAAAAAGGATTCTGTATCTCCTTACTTGGGTGATTTTCAGCGTAAGCAAAAGA